AACACCGAATCGAGAACTCAACAAGTTCTCGAAAATTTAATAACAAAATTTCTTGCGGTTGGATTATATGAGTGTTTTTTTTTCGGTTACAATGTCATTTATCATTGCGCTTGTTTCAACCAGAAAGGTAATTGCGTGATTATGTTCGTTCTTTTTTCGATTGTTTCTTGTTATAAAAACAATTCCAGGAAATTACTTTCGTCGCCAGAAAACTAATTCTAATATCATTCTTTAACAGAATGTGTATTTCTTGGGAGGAAATTAATTCCGGGAGTCGGACTTTGTTTGAGTAGTATCGAGATTCGACTAATCGGCAAAATAATTAAATTTTCTTTGAAAAAAAAAAGAATTGGTTTTTAATTTCGTTTTAATGCCAATTGATTATTAGCCATTTTTATAACAATTGAGTAACTATTACTTGTATTGAATGGAGGAAATGACTTCATCCGATTAAAAGCATCGATTTCATGTGATTTTTACAATGACTATTCCCGCAGCCACCGAATATGTATGAGAAAATGTTAACTTTCTCCGCATTTAATTACAAAACTATCGATTTGAACGGTTGTAATAATAGAATCCACTTGGTTTAATGGAAGATATCAAATGAATCTTTTTCTCGTTTCTCTCAGTGTGAGTGCAGGTTTAGGTATGGAAACTTACGAATCTCTTGTTTGTTTCTCTTACTTTCTTTTAATTTTTCCAATTTCTCGCTTTTTTCATCGAATTTCAATGAATTTTTAGCATTTTTTCATCTTTTTTTCATCTTCGAGCATTGAAAATACTTTGAAAGGGCGGAAATTTGTAAAATTTCTTTCATTTTCCATAACCTTTTCAATCTCTTTGGCAAATTGTTGATATTTTCAACCTTTTTTTCTAATTTGTCAACTTTTTTTTGTCAATTTTTCAACTTTGTTCACCTTTTTCTGTGACTTTTCAACCATTTTTCAATGTTTTCTAACCAATTTTATCAATATTTTGTCAATGAATAATATTTCTCTACTATTTCTGTCTCTTTTTTGACTTTACAACATATTTTCCATCTTTTTACCGCTCTTAATAGATTTTTTTCAATTTTTGCCTCGACATCCTAGTTGAATTTCAAAGTTGTATCTCCTACTTGTTCCTAGTTCTTCCGTTTTTCTCAGAATCCTTTTGCATTGGTTGAACGAATCGTCGTTCTCCATAATTTTGTTCACTCTCTATCCCTTTTAGTCACTCTCTCTCTCTATCTCTATCTACCTCTCTTTCTCTCTATCTCAAGCCATAACCGGCAATGACATTTGCTCTTATCGTAATCTGTTTGTTGCTTTGGCGTATGGTTGTTTGTCGGTTGTTAGCCCGATGTTATAACCTCGATAGCTCCGTTTCGACGAACCACCTCCACAACACCTCGTATGTGTTTCCAAAACACGTAACTCGCTCGAAATCGATTCGGTGAAGTCGAAACAGGAAAAGAGTTGAATTTATGTGTCATCGTTTTTAAGCTCTATTTTTTTCCCTCTGTTTGAATCATCTAGTTTATAAAGTGGAAAATGAAAACTGATGCAGAAAAAAAGCGGTCTGTATTGAATTGACCATTTTCGGAAGTGTGTGTATTTTTGCGGTGTGTGTTTAGCGAACGCTGAACGGCGTACACTGTACGCTATCGCATTTTCAACAATTTGGAATTCGTGGAAAGCGGAAACCATTACCGAATCAGCCAGTTTATTTGGCTGCGACGAAGAGAAACATGTTATACTTTGTCTGCCGTACTTGGAACTGAGCACATATTGAATAATCCAGACCTAGAGTCCGTGGAAATATGTAAATGTGTGGAATTACATACGTTGACCTTTGACTTGCATCATTCTTTTCTTCTTCGTTGCATGCTACTAATGGCCGGTAGTTTAGTATCATTTATCGCCATGCCATTTGAGTGTATTTCTTTTCTCTCCCTTTCCACGAATGGGTTTCACCGCACGGACACATTTCGGGCTATGTGTGTTCGGAATCGAATGACAAAACCGAGAGCGATTCTTGTACAAACAATGTTGATATTTTATACGATTACAAAGTTAGCCGGTTCAGAAGAAAGATTCACAATTTTTTTTTGTTCTTTTTGTTTGAATTTCCCATGTCCCCATGTGTGTGTGTTGTGTTCGTGTTTTTTTTTATCAATTTTTGTTTGTTGTTCTCTCATCGTTTTCATTAGTAATCATCCGGGTATATCATAATCACAATAATTAACAATGCAACATTTTGACGAGCAACAATCATAAAATAGTCTAATTTATAGATTAATGCGGCAAAGAGCAGAGGCAGCAACAAAAGCCGAACAACGAAAAAAAGAAACCGAACAACAAACAAACATAAAATGATGGAGCCGTTCCCGAGCAAACAGACGAGTGAAATCGTCTTACAGCTAGTGGTTTGTTAGCGTCCTACAATGTTTGGTGAGAGAACGTGTTTAGAAAACCGAGAACAACGCTAGAGCAGGTGAGACTTGACACAGGCAAATGGCCGAATAAGCAAGCGCAAGACGATAATAACGCAATGACGACGATGACGATGACGACGACGACAACGGCGAACGAAAGAAAGAAAGAAAAAAAGAAGAAGTGAAGAGCGAAGAAGACCTTAAGAGATCTTAAGAGAGAAGAAATCGAACGAAGAACTGCGTCATAAGATAGAAGGAGATAGAACGAGAAGTGAATACGCAAGCGAACATACGAACGAAAGAGCCATTGAAGCGCGAGTAAAGAGTGTATCGAAACCGAGTAAAAGAATATCTATCTAAGCCGAAGAATGTCTTGTAAAATGATGTATATAAAGTGAAATTCATGGGAAAATACGATGTTAATTAGTGTGTGATGGGTTCAAGTTTTAGTGGTGGCTGTTCTTTCACACGCATACACACACATGGGTGTGTGTGCGAATCGAACGAAAACAGCATATTCCAAATGGTATGTGCTATCCGAAGCCTCTATACTAATATGCATAATAAAAATGCGTTGTCGTTGGTTCGATCGTTTCTCTCTCTTTCACTCTCTCTTTCCCTTTCTTGCTCTCGCTCGCTCGTTCACTTCATTTCTTAATCTTTTGTACTGGTGTTGTTGTTCTTTTGCATACATTTTGTATGTTTTTTGTTGTTGTTTTCGTTGAGCCGTTGATCAAATTCACATGCGCATTTTTTTTTTCTACGACGTCATTGTTAATGGTTGCCATGCATTAGATGATAGCGATTAGTCATGGTGCAATCAAAAATGGAAATAAAACGCAATCTATCTGTGCATCATCGGCGTCGATGACGATCAACCTCAAGTATTATTCGAATCCCGGCTAATTTCAAACAAGTGGAACATAAAATCTGCGGCGGAAATAAACGGTTTCGTTTTCATACTTCTTTTTTTTTACTGCACTCGAATTAGAATTAATTTTTATTGCCGTTCAAAATGCGCTGTGATAAATGATAACACACGTCATTGAGTGAAGTGAGCTTTTTTTTTTCAAGTATGGAATGAATGGAGATGAAGCAAGACGAAACAAAAAGTAGAAAATCGAGACGAAAAGAAGAGAGAAAAAATGAATAAAGCAAGCAGAAACAAAATAAAGGAAGTTCATCACTGAACTAAGCCACTAATAGCAGGCATTGTAAAACATTTGTGAGATATCTTTTATGGGCGTCCTCACATACGCTCTCAAGATGTGTATGTAGAGAAGTCGGTAAGAAAAACGAAAAACCGAAAAAAAATGAACAAGATTTACGCGAATTTAGCACGCAGCATTGTTCTAGTTTGCCATTTGACATTGTTGCTCTCGCATTTCTAGCGATTCGCATTTTTTTTTCTTTCGCATTTAAATGGAAACATTCACCTTAATATTTGAACATGCTCGCAGACGAGATCCATCCATATACGCAATTATAATATAATTACCGCATATTTTCATGATGTACACGATTTTCGGTCCCGTATGATATAAACGCACACAAGAGCTCTAGTTAGAAGACAACCGTTGAGAGAAAGAAAGAGCGAGAGAGAGAGAAGAAGAAGAGAGTCATGGCGAGCAAGAGAAGAAAGATGAGAAAAATAATTGGAAAGAATGAAAAAGAGAGAAAGAGAAATATAGGTAGAGAATGAGGGAGAGAATGAAACAGAAAGAGAGATAGAAGTAGATGGAGAGTGGAAGAGAGCGAAAATTTCCTCATTCCAGAAACTTTGCAAGAGCAATTCAATGAAAGAGTGAAAAAGCAAGCGAAAGAGCGAAAATTGTTACCGAGTGCGAAGAGTGCAGAAGAGACCGTGATACATGAGCAATAAAGTGAGTTGGAGTTGAAAAAAAAAACGGTTGATCCTGACTCATGAATTATGTCGTTGAATGTAATTTATGGAAATGTTTCATAAACAATTTATCTTGTTCCGTGACTGGGGAACTCAGTGCCATACCCGCCGTACGCATTCCATGGAGAAAAAAAAGCAAACGGTACAATTACTTCTCTCTCTCTCTCTCTCTCTCTCTCTCTCCCGTACTGTCTGCCCCGGCACAAGCAGCAATATTTTCCAGTCGGCATAAACCATTTTAATTCGGCAGAGAATTTTAATTCGACACAAATATTATTCTATTAACAATTCACCACTAATTAAAATCACTGCCATGTTCTCTAATATTTTATTTATTCATTTGCTCGAAAATATGTTTAGCGCGGCAAAATTGTGTTGCGTACGGTGTAATCAACGTTCATTTCATGTATATACACCGTATTTGTCTGTGCACGGTGTGTGTATCAAGATAGAAATTTATAATGGTTTTTTATGTTTATCAATTTTAGGCATTTAGAAAGAGCTTAATTTTGATAAATCGCAAAATGATAGTAGTAAATCATAGAAAATCCCCTGTCGAGGAGCTGTGTGTCAAGATAATGGGAGTTTAGCTTGAAATGTGATAATTTTCTTGTTTATTTGCGTTGCCTTGCAATGGAATTGTTTTTCATGGGCATCAGTTCAGTTTAAGAGGAAAAAAGCATCAGTTCAGTTCGAATAGCAAAGAAAAAGGAAAAAATAGAGTCTCAAATCAGTTTGGAAAAATCAGAACAGGTTAATGTGTGTACAAAATGAGCCAGTACACCGAAATTCCAACGACTACGACGCCAACGACGATGACAATAAGTGCAAGCAGTGCACAGCCAGCAGAACCAACGTCCACTAATTATTTGATATCAACAGTACGAGATAATTTGATAAATGCAAGCGAACAGCACCAGCAAGACGATGTGAACAATTTCGTTTTCCACTTCAGTTGGCTTGATTACGGTTTCTTTGTGGGGTTGCTCAGTATATCCGCATTGATCGGCATTCACTATGGTTTTTTTTCCAAGCACAAACAAAACAATACCGACGAATACATTCTGGGTGGACGTTCAATGAAAATTTTACCCGTTGCAACGTCCATGATCGCAACGTTAGTACAAATTACTTCTGTTCTCTTGTGTGTGTGCTTGTGCCAGATTTCAATGTGCTACTCTCCGTTCGGCGTGCGTTTTTTTCTCGCATTTCCAAGTGATGAGCAGACAGTAGTGATAAATCAAATTATCCACTGATTTTTTTTTTGTTTTGTTTCGTAACGTTTAATACAGTTTCGCTCTCTCTCCCTCTCTCTCTCTCTCTCTCTCTCATTTCCGGTTTATAGCCATATATCAGGTCAAACTTTAGTTGGATTACCCACCGAAATCTATTCGAATGGAACACAGTACGTGGTTTTTGTGATTACTTCCGTTTTGGTAAGACACACACACACACAAATTGAGACCGAACAATTCACCGATTTTTTCTAATGGTATTTTCGCATTTCGGCAGTTGGGTCTTGCGTTGGCATACATTTTTTTGCCATTGTATCACAATCTCGGTGTGACTTCGAGTTTCGAGTACTTGGAACGTCGATTCGATCGTCGTATTCGCTTTTTGGCCACCTTTGTCTATACAATCAAGTACATTCTCTTCACACCGGCCGTTATCTATGTGCCAGCACTCGTATTTAGTCAAGGTAAATTTTCCTGTTTCGAGTCTCGACAAGACTCTCAACGAAGAGGAACTAACTACAGTATCTGAACAACTTCATCACAATCGCATTTAAAAGAAAGACAATTCGACCGGGAGCATTAACAAACGACGAAAAAATAGTGTTTTTTCGGGGGTCGAAGATCATCTTTTTCACTCTTTCATTTTTTTATCGCCTCTTTTTCAGTCGAAATCCACATTTCTCACTCTTTTTGAATAACATTCACATTTGTTTTTCTGTTTTTCAAACTAAATTTCCCAAATTCCCATCTGAAACTTTTTCAAACTGGAATTAACAGTTTTTTTGTAACCTTTTTTTTGAATTCAAATCCATTTTTATCCCATGTCTGTTTGTTGACGTGAGCAAGATGCGTATCAATTAAATGTTGTGATCTAAATTAATGATAATTTAAATAGCCTCTCACCAGGCATATTTCCATCATTTTCAACTGAGAAACGATTTCCATGAACGAATTTAAAAAAAAAATGCCGTTTTTTTTATTACAGTGAGTGGATTGGATTTGCACTATGTGACGCCTGTCATTTGTGCGGTATGCGTTTTTTACACAACAATAGGTGGATTAAGGTACCATTTAGAGTCATTATCAACTGCATTCAACACTATTTTCGTATGGAAATTTTGAAAAAGAATCCAATGAAAGTGGATTTTAGTCAATTTTCGTATGATTTTTAGTCGGTTGAAAGTTTTCCTATGAAAATGTTCAATGAAATGACTCATTTCATTCCAATCGATGAAAGTTGTCAATAAAAACTCCCAATAAATCGATATGCTCTCAAAATTTGGTTGAAATGCACATATTTCGGATTTCTATTTTGTTCTCCACAGGGCTGTGGTATGTACGGATTTCATTCAATTTTTGCTGATGCTGACTGCAGTCATTGTCATTATAACGTTGGGCACTACCGGTGTTGGTGGTTTTGCAAATGTATGGTCAGCTGCTGAGCGTGGCGGTCGTTTGATTTTATTCAAGTAATTTAATTAAATTTGTCTGTTTGTGTTGTTTTTTTTTTCTGTGTGCCTCTTTCGATTTCGATACGGTGGTCGTGTGTTTGTTTTTTTCTCACACTTTCTCATTTGATTTCAATCTGGCCGCCAGCATGGATCCTAGCCCATTTGTGCGTACATCATTTTGGACAATATTGCTTAGTTTAACCGTTAATTGGATGTCAAATTCTGGTGTTGGCCAAACAACCGTTCAACGATTTCTGTCCGTACCTGATTTGCACGCTGCCCGAAGGTTTTTTCGTCAAAATTTTCATTTTAAACATTTTTATCGCTTTTGACCATATAAACTAATTAAAGCCTCGTATTTGAGATTTAGATCGGTGTTATTCTTTACGATTGGCATGATTTTCATCAAATTGTTGGCCATGTTTCTCGGTTTGGTCATATATGCTACCTACGAACATTGCGATCCGATTCGCGCAGGTATCGTATCACGATCGGATGAGGTGAGAACACTTTTAAATTTATCTATTCATATCTGGATCTTCAATCGAAATGAACTGAGGATAACAATCTACAAATGGATTTTTATTTAGAAAGAAAAAAAAAGTCACCAAAAAAATTTTAATTGATCAAAACACTCCAAATTTGTACGCATGTGTTTAGATCGTGTCATACTACGTAGTTCAAATTGGACAGCGTTTGCCTGGTGTAGCGGGTCTCTTTATTGCCGGCATTTTTGCAGCCGCACTGTCAACTATGTCATCGGCGCTCAACACATTGGCCGGCACCATCTATTCCGATGTTGTTAAACATTGGTACGTTACAAACACAACAACCATTCCATAAAAATGGAAATGAGCATTTCAAACAAGTCACCAACCGAATGAGATTTGATAGTGTCTCCGGTTTAAATGGCTCGTCAATTTTGAATTTATTGCTGATTTGACATTCGTTTATGGGTTTGCCTAATTCATGACTGAATTTGACTAGTTCACAAATTGTAAACATTTGTTTTCTCTTTGTTTCATTTTCATTCTTTTCTCTCGTTTTTTTTTTATTGCTTTTTAACCAATTTTTATCATCTTTTTAAAAATTGATATGTTTGGTTCTGTTGTATTTTTTTTTATCGTTCTGTTGTTTTTCTTAATCTTTCTGTTGTATTTTCAAAATGACAAAATTGTTACAAAAACGCTGAAAATCCGGAGCAGTTTGGGCAAACAAACGGAAAAGCAAGCGAGCAACACAATGAAATGGATCTGCGTTGTGCTGGGGATCATAGTGACTATTTTGGTGTTTTTGGTGGAAAAATTGGGCTCGGTCTTTCAAATTGGCATTTCGATTGGCGGCGTATTTACCGGATCATTTTTGTCCATGTTCGTTTTGGGAATGACCAGCCGATCGGCGAATGCTAAGGTTTGATTTAAGTTTAATGGTTTCATTTCTCCAAAAAAGAGACCATTTTATTAGGCATGATTGATGTTTTATACTTTGCCTACGGGCAAAATCGAAATCAAATTCATCCATTTATTCGATGCGATATCATTTATACTTAATGTGAGAGAAATTCAGTTTGAATATTGAAATATATATTCAGCATCTGAGCTTCAACATTTTGATGATTCGCCGGACCGAAATTCAATTCATTGGAAGAAAATTGCGTTTAAACGGTTTCAACTTTGAATCATAAAAATGAAGAAAATTGTTATCATTAAGGTAAAAATGCATGAAGAGAATTTCCTGAATGATTTTCCATGATCAAAATGCATTTTGATGTGCACATATGTCCATTCATGAACATTTTTCTTGAGAAAATTTGCAAGAACTTTAGATAAATGTTTTCTACAATCTCGAAAAATCTAGAAAAAAAAGTCGAAAAAAAAAGAAAATTCCGAAAAATCTTAAGAAAATCTCGAGAAAATCGCCACTTTCTTCCTTTAATCAAAACATTCAGAAGCAAAATTTATAGTATTTTCGATTCAAATTCAATAATAATGATGAAAAATTAGAGAAAATAGTCGAAAACATAGAAAATTGAACATAATAGTTTGCATTGCAATCAATTTTGATTCATCGAAATCGTGTAAATTCAATTTCAACCTTTGATTCAAGGCTTGAATTTCAAGCCCAATTGCCTATTTAAAGGCTTTTTATTTTCATTCAAAAAATTTACACATAGAATAAATCAATTGCAGGGTTTGATTGTGGGTGTAATTGTATCATGTAGCTTGTTATTGGTAATGATGATTGGAGCGCAACTAAACAACATTGCAAAAGAGCCAACATTGCCGGTGCAAATGGATGGGTGCTCAAGTGAAGTATTTCGGAATATGTGAGTTGAATCTTCGATTGCATTGATATAGATTTATATTCATTCATTCAGTTGTTATTGAATAATATCCATACCGGATATCCACGGATCGTACCGTATATATACGATTCGTATATTTTATACGAATCAGATTGATTGAGTCAGTCATCAAATTAATATCCAAATAACAGATGTTGAAAGCTGAAATGATGGTATTAATGGCCTACACTCATCCATCAAGATCATAATTTCGACGTCTTTTATCTTAATTAAATCGTCTTTAAATATCGATATCTCCTCAAATTTAGGACCTCCACATCGAATTCAACGCAAAGTGCACCGCACGAATCACCAATCGGCCCAAATCAAGAAGTATTTTGGTTGTTTCGAATCAGTTTCATGTGTTATGCAACCATTGGTTTCGTTGTATCGATAGTGGTTGGGCAGGTGGTGAGTTGGTTAAGTGGTGGTGCATCGCAGATAATCGACGAGAATCTCTTGATTCCATTCTTCCAAAGCAACGAATTCAAAGAGCGAATGAATCGAAAGCCCGAAACCAGATATGCAACCATCGATCAAATGCTCATCGAAATGGCGAAACAGTCAAAAAGCGAGCAAAATGTTGACGACAACAAGTCTGCAGTCAATTAATTCAATAATAATAAATCAAAAATAAGCATAAACATTAAGTTATGTAAAAGGCGAACAAATAAAAAACGAACAAATGCTATAAAAGTACGAATCGCACTGTGCGATAAATAATTCATTTTTCTCGGGTCTTTGTTACTTTATCAAAACGAAATGAATGACTTTATTTGCGTGCTACGAGTAGAAAATGTGTATTGCTGTGGCAAAAGTTGTGCACGACTTTGTTGGGCTTTGATTCGGTCGTAATGCATTTTCTGCGAACACAAAGTAGAGGAAAAAAGAAGAAAACAAACCGAAGCAAAACAATTAATTGAAAAGAGGAGACATTGCACTGAATTGTTGCTGCCGTTGTTGTTGTTGTTGTTGATCGAAAGAAAAGTGTTGAATTAATCAAAAGAAGAAAAATGCTCTCATTTTTCTTTGAGCGTGCGCTCGCTCGCTCGCGCGAATTCAATTTCTCCAATTAAAATTCAATGGAGGCAAAAGAGCAACGAACGAATGAGCACTAGTTCAACAAATGCGCCATCGGCTGGGGAGAAGGGTGGGGACATTATTATAATTATGAAGATTCCACAGAAAAGAAAAAAAAAACCCAAAGACATTATTATATGAATTCTTTTTTGATTTCATTCGGTTTTTCTATTCAAGCACACTGCATGGGAGCAAGAGAGAAGAAAATGCAGCTAGTTCACATCAAAGATGCCAATGAAATTGAATTTCAATTGCATTCATTCAAGATGAAGAAAAGTCTTTAAGACCGAGCTCCAAGCGTAAGAAGGCATCGTGAAAGAAAAGCCGAGAAAAGAAATGAATAGCAGGAAAAAACAACAGCCACAAACGTCATGTGCATGAGCTTGTGCGCTTATTAAACTAATTCAAATGGTCATTTGAGAGAGAGAGAGAGAGAAAGAAAGAGAGAGAGAGAGAGAGAGAGAGAGAGAGAGAAGAACCGGATCGCAACGTTTTGTCAATCTGTGCACTATGCGAAATGTGCTTCACATCATTCTCACTTTCCAACATCCAATCGATGGATGCACTAATTGAATTTCACCCAATAACTTTCGATTAAAAAACGAATTATAGTGAACGCAATTTTTTCAAGCCTTCGCTAAACCAACAAAAAATGTTCCTTGTCATTTTATCGCGCAAACGGCAATGGGATGACAGAGAGAGGAACAGCAAAATAGAAAAAATTACTCACAGCCGTTGCAGGATTCCGATATTATTGGAATTGAAAAATTCAAGCCCAACAGATGTTGCCAATTCAATTGCATCGCAGTACCGATAAAACCGTATTGATTATAATGTCCCCATTTCATTGTGCAGTGTGAAAATATCCACGCGGAAAAAAGCGTGCGCGCTGAGCGTACATCGTGCTCACACCAATGAAAGAGAGCAGAAAAACAACAGCGCAAGAGAATGGAATTGGAAGCGAGAGAGCGAGAGCAAGAGTGTGAGTAAAAACGATGAGATTCTCATATTGAAAGTGCATCAAGTGTTCACGCCTAACGCACAAAGAAATTCTCGCATCGTAACAACGGACAAATAATGTTCCGAATCCAAAAACAGTAAATTCCTTATCTAATACTAGAGTGAAGTGCATTGGTTGTTTTAACCATGGCGATTTGGCTTGCTTCGTACGTTGTTGCTGCTGCTGTTGGTGTGGTGAGCAACGAAAGCTGTGGAAAATTGCATTCAAACTGAAAATGGGTTACGACGGTTCGATGGTTCGATTAGAACCGAGTGGGTGGGTGGGTGAGTGGAGCAGAGAAAAAATATTGTAATCTGAATTAAATGTGCGATGAATAGAAACGCTTGAGTCTGTTGTTTATTATATTCTGAAGCACTTTATCCTGGAGAATGGTACGAGAGAACAAGAGAAAGGATGCGAGTGAGCAAGCTAGAGGGATGGAGACCAAGCAAACGGGAGATAGAATGAAAAAGTTTCGGGCCGAGAGTGAAAAAAAAACGTTCAATTATCTAAAGTGGAATCGATTGAGCATGGACACTCGCATTCAATTTGCTCGCTTTCGACGTCTCTCACCACACACACACACACACACATACGCTTCACTGATAATAACTGCGTGCGTGGGTGTCGATTAGTTGCAACGCCAATGATTCTTTGCTCAATGAACACAAAAACCATTCCATTGAACTTTATTTCAATTGACTCGACCGACAAAATTCGCTTCGTGTTCAATTTTCTCTCTATTTATCTTGTTTTGGACGCGCTATCGCTTCTGGTTCTCATTCTCATTCTCTCAATCGCTATTCTTCACTCTCCCGCTGTCTATCTCGCTCGCTTTTCTAATTTGGAGAGAGCTTTGCCTCGCTTTCTCTCTCTCTCTCGATGTCCCTCTGTGCGTCGCTTTGTCCTGCTTTGTCTCTCTGTGCTCCTCTTTGTCTTTCGTTTGCATCTCTTTGCCCTCTCACTCCCATTCGGTTTCTGGTGCATCGAGCTGCATATCACATATGTGATCCAAATTATCGGCACGATTTGTTGCGTGTGCCTGCTTAATCAAAATGCGTAAAATATTTTTCGGCATAGCCCCGCAAGCCGCATTTAATGCCAATGTTGAACATTACTTACAATCAGCTGAACAAGGCACATTGATGCGTTAATAATTAGTAACAGCAATAGCAACACCTACCCAAAAATAGCACACATTGTATACGCAATGATCAGCCATTTAGATATTTAGCTAACACACACACATATACACTCATATAAATTCCAGAACAATGGAGCAGCAGCAGCAGCACTTGGCTTTGTGTGTGCATTCGATGGGATTGCACCGAAAAATGCCATTCGACACAGGAATGCACAGCTGCAGCGCGTTTGAGTGTGTGTGTGGCCGAACACGAAATAGATAATTACAATGTATTCAAAACGCCGAAACATGTAAATTGATCTAATTTTTCAATTGACATTCATTAGCCGTTTTCAAGAGCCCGTCACACACTCTCTCTCTCTCTCCCTCGTTATTATCGCATCGTGTTGCGTCGTGATTGCATGAATGATGGACTCCATGAAGTGGGGGACAACACGGCTCGGTGGAAAATTATCTAAAAAAAAAAATTGGTTATGATGGTGTTGCATAGTAATATGGTTAATTAGGGACAATTTCCAATAATTATGTCCATATTTTTTGGTTGCACGGTTTTCTATTTAAATTTTTTCCTGTCACTCTCTCTCACTCTCTCCCATTTTTTGACGTTATATCTCTCATTCTCGCGCTCTTTCGCTCTCTCTCTCTTTATCTCTTTTACGATTTTTTCGCATGCTATCTCACATCGCCTTACTTCATTTTCTCCTTCAATTGTGGCTTTTTCTTTGCTTTCTTCACTGTTGACGGCTCATTTAAACGTTCTTAAACCAGATTGAATTAACGAAACGGTAGTGAGAGATGCATAATTTTAAATGACGAAATGAAGAGAAAATATTTGGTGTGCGTACGATTTTGATTGGTCTCTCTGACATGTTGTGATCAAAGCAATTAACTGGATTTTTTTCTCTCTTCGGTCGTTTAAATTTTTATTCAACGCAGTTGAACTCATCAACTTTCGACCTCCTGCGGTTTTATGCCAAGCATCGATATGCCGTTCGTTTGTTCGTCAAACGATTGATTAAAGTCAAGCATCGTGCTCTTCCGTCCAATTATAACCGAACAACCTCATTCCAAAATTTATGAAACCACTCTGTCATATATTTTCCATATTGCCAGAATGAGCCTTTTTATCGCGGCACATTTCATGGTGTGGCGCAGCAATAAGCGACTGAAAACCAAATTTTACGCTTTAAACGGCGATAAATGCGAGAACAACAAAAACGCCAACTTTCATAATAAAATCATCTAAATTTTGACAATTTGGAAAAATGAAATTGCGATTTTGCTCCCCCATTTTTCGGTGGCCATGGCAAAACTTTGCCCGTGCACATAAAGTTTGATGATGTACGAGATGTATGGATGAAAAAAAAAAACAAAACGGAATGGAAACAGTAAAATGAGAGTCTGGCTAAAGCACTAGCGCAGCCCCTCCAATTTGTCGAACAAGTGGATAGATCATGAAATGAACATTTACCACTTTGTGTGCCTGTGACTGTCATACGCACAATGCAATCGCCATAAAAATCCAAAAATTATTATCATTGACCCAATTCACGTGGTGCTTGTTGGTTGTTTCGATGCCGGTCCCTCGCACAGCTCTTGTGGCTTGTACCGATAGACCAAACGAAAAACCTCATCAAAGTGACCAGAGAGAAGAGCAATAAACACAAAATTTACATATTTTCAACAATGATGCAACAAATTTCTTATCAACACAAATGATGGCTATCAGTTGTTTGTCATTGTTTGGTGGCAGCACCACGTTATCGTAATCAGCTCATAACATTTGCAATGCTCGATGAAAACGAGAACCGAAAAAAACCCTCTCATTCAAAATGGAACAAAGACTCGATCGAAATCGCTTTGCAAATGTTGTTTTTTTTCGCTTTTCGGCTGTATTGAACAGAGAGCGCATCATTTTAATATTGTCATCGCATGTCGCATCAGATAAAGCCAAACCTCAAATACCGTCCAGATAGATAGAAAATGAAGGGGGATAAGACACACAAATCAAATAATTGAATGGTACTCTTGCTAAAGCCACCACACGGAGTGTGAGAGACGAAAAAAAGCACTCGTGCTAAGCCAAAGATTGCTTTCAAAGTGAGGATAAAATAGATTTGAGATTGTGAAAAGATGAGCAGAGCTAACGTATGAACGGACAGGAGAGAGATTGCAAAAGAAAGAGATAAGAGGAGGGAGGGAGAGAGAGAGAGTAAGCGAGTTAACAGAACGCGTGGATTGAAAGAGTGAAGCAACGGAGCGAACAAGCGAATGAACAAATGAGTTAAAGGGAACGAACGAGCAAAAGTCGGAAAGAAAGTGCGAGCAAGTGAGAACGGCCAAATCAAGAGAAAGAAGAAGAAAAAAACGAGAGAAAAATCAACCAACGATTTGTGTGCTTGAGAACATGTTCGTATTTACATACCAAGCGAGTGGCATTCAAGTTCTATCAGTCGTATCTAAAAATA